CAAAGACAAGTGAATATCAGAAGTTTACATCTATCCCCAAGAAAAAAATTCAGAATTTATGCTCATTTATTTTGTATAAATGTCTTTACTGATTGTAAGTACGTTTAGCTCCACTTACCATTTTGAAATGATCTGTAAATTTTGTGGTTGCAGGATGGGAAAATTGAAGCAGAAATCAAACTCACAGGAATTCTCAGTTTGGGAGCACTGCCTCCCGGAGAGTCTCGTAAATATGGCACCACAATAGCACCGGGATTGTATGCACCTGTTCATCAACACTTCTTTGTTGCTCGTATGAATATGGCAGTTGATTGTAAACCAGGAGAAGCACACAATCAGGTATTTAGTGGAACAAGTTACCATGTCCACCCGGAAGTTAAAGTAATTTCATACCTTCAGTTTCCCAGTTCTTAACTTTCTAATCTGAGTTGTTAGTCCTTTGTCTAGGTTGTTGAAGTTAATGTTAGAGTTGAAGAACCTGGGAAAGAAAATGTTCACAACAATGCATTCTATGCTAAGGAAACAGTGCTTACGTCTGAATTGCAAGCAATGCGTGACTGTGATACTTTATCTGCTCGTCATTGGATTGTAAGAAGCCTTACTTGACTGTATCCTCCTTTCTTTTTATAGAACTGTTCTTCAGGTTACTTCCTGGCACAGTATCTGCTGAGATATGTACTCATAGTAGACTGTGGTCCTTAAACATGGCCACTGATTTTTGAGGGAGCTAAATGCAATGTGTAGAACCTCCACCTTAATGCTAGTCTTGTCATATGAGAATTGTTTCTCCAAAAAAATGATTTTAAGAACTTTCTGTGACTTGTATGGTTTTGGCATAAGAGTATATTATGTTTCATTCTTCTGAAAATCACGAACTTTTGTTGAGTTTTGCTCTCTTTGGCTAGAGATGTGTTTGGTAACGAAAACAACAAACCCAGTTTAGTCCCACAAGTGGGGTTTAGGGAGGGTAGAGTGTATGCAGATCTTGCCCCCTACCTTGTGAAGGTAGAGAAGTTGTTCCCGATGGACCCTTCGCTCAAGGAAAGATAGAAAAAGAAACAATAGCATCAAGCAGTAACAACAACACGATGATAGATTAACCGAAGCGAAAGAAACAAGAATAGGGATAAGAATAAGAAATAGAAACAACAGGTAGTAAAAGAAAACTAAGCATAAGGAAATACAAGAGCAATACTAATACTACTGCTATGGAAAAGAAATACGCTCAACTACCTGCTAACCTTCCACCGTAAGATTGTTGATGAAAATTTCAATTGCAAATTCATTTAGATAGGGCGGTTGAACTTTATTGTTTCAGCATGTGGTATTGTGGAGTCAATTTTTAGATTCCAAAATCTGCTAACTCAAAAACCAAGGAGAAGTGGAAGAAATTGAATACTCGCATCCCCAACCTAGTAACAGAGCCATCGATGTGACTGCGAACATCTGATTTTGCAGGTTAGGAACACAAGAACATCCAATAGAACAGGACAGCTAACAGGGTACAAGCTGGTACCTGGCCCTAACTGTTTGCCATTGGCTGGTCCTAAGGCTAAGTTTTTGAGAAGAGCTGCATTTTTGAAGCACAATCTATGGGTTACAAAATATGCACCCGGAGAAGATTTTCCCGGGGGAGAGTTCCCTAATCAAAATCCACGTGTTGGTGAGGGATTAGCTTCTTGGGTTAAGCAAGATCGTTCTCTGGAAGAAAGTGATGTTGTTCTCTGGTTCGTTTCCGACAACTGTCAAATTATGTTATAACATTGGAGTTGCAGGTTTCAGATTGTTTTACCTCACACACAAACTTAACTTTCATAAAGAGCTAGATGTAAAACTTCTAATTCCTTGGAAACCCTTATATACATGTTTGAGAAGTTCCCTATTCCTTGAAATTCTGATCTACACAGATTATTGCAGGTATGTTTTTGGAATCACACATGTTCCTCGGTTGGAGGACTGGCCTGTTATGCCAGTTGAACATATCGGTTTTATGCTTCAGGTATTCTGGAATATGGATGTTTTGTGTTTATTTTGTATGTACTGGTGTTTTTCTCCTTATCTTTGTCATCATCTAACTTCTCGTTATCTATTGTGTTACCATTTACTTGGTACTAAAGAGCTGATTATGTATTGTATCAATTTTTTGCAATAACTCAACTCATTCATACATTCGCTATGTGTATGTTACAATAACTAGCCAAACATAAACATAGAGTGTAGCATTGGAAGTATTGGCAGTGGAGTAGAAAGGATCGTGAATATCCACAGAGAACTTGTAAAATCAAAGCAATTGGGAGCTGGTAGTAGAAATGAGAAGGTTCTTTTTCAAGTTGTTATCTTGACATTAACCTATTCAATAGTCCGTTGGATTTGCTTGTTGCTTTACTTTTACTGTTCCTTAAGCTGAGGGTCTATTGGAAACAACCTCTCTGCCTTTATAGGGTAGGGGTAAGGCTGCGTACACACTACCCTCCCCAGACTGCACGTATGGGATTAAGCTGGGTTTTTTGTTGTTGTAATAGTCTGTTGGATGTTTTACTCTGTTGAACAAGGAAGAGGGTTTTTGGGGAGAGGGAGAGTACGGAAGTTGTTAATAAACTGCAATGGCTGGAAAATGTACCTCAGCATTTTTTTTTTGTATCAGTCCTAATAGGCCAAGACCTTAAGTCTGGATCAGGTTAACCACAGTAAATTTAGTGATAAAACTCTCCATCCTTTTTAATTACTGAAATCTTGTAATCTTTTTTCGAAATTGCTGGCTAAACTAGAGAATTATATCCCTTCCTCAGAACCTGTTTAAGTTTATTGCCCAAGTTTAGCAATGACTTTATCCAACTCCAAAAACCTGCTGTATAATATTCATTGTGAAAACTGTTAAGATTCATGGAAAACTTAACTCCACGTATGTAAAATTTTGCATAGCCGGTCTTCAATCCGGATAAAGAAGAGGGTTGTGATATCTTGATGGCTAAACCAATAAGTTCCCTAACTAATTTGGTATTAACATAGTTGATTCATTGATCGATATAACATGGAAATTCGGTTGAAAAGGGATTAGTTCTATACTCATAAGTAGAGTTGGCAAAATGGTTAAAAGAAAACAGTTATCCACCCATATTATCCATCAAAAAATGAGTTGAATAATGAACTTTTTAAAAACGGGTCAAATATGGATAAGACCCATATTATCCAATTAGAAAATGAATAACCAACGGGTTTAACTTTTACATTTATAAAGCCTCAAATTGGAGGTTCCTCAAGTTAGAAAGACTAGGAATTCTCTCAAAAGTAATCATATTCAAGAAGCCATGGATAATATGGATATTTATATTATTCGCCGGTTAACCAGTGTTTTATCCGTATTAAATATGTGTCGGGTCGGATAATTTATCTATTTTTTGCATTACCCGTTTTCAGCTCGCCCATATCCGACCCGACCTGCCTGCCACCCCTACTCATAAGTCATAATAGAAGGTGGATGGTTCTGTTTGTCCATAACCTGTTCAGTTTAAAGAATGATTATTTCTGCTTGTTGGTGCAGCCACATGGATTCTTTAACTGCTCTCCCGCTGTAGATGTACCTCCTCCTCGGGGATGTGACATGGAAATCAAAGACAGTGATGGTTCAGAAAATGGTGTAGCAAAGCCCACTCCCAGTAATTTGATGGCCAAGCTTTGAAAGGTTTCTGATTCAGAAAATAGACCTCTCGTATTATCTGCACAGACACACGACAGGCAAACTTCCATCTTTTGTTTCTTTCGGTACAGTCCTGAATTAGTTGGTGCTACTACATGGATGTTGCTATATTTTAGATAACGTGTTTAAGCAAAGCATGTCCTGTTTTCTATTGACCTTGAACATCGTTATATAGAAAATCTAATAACCTTCACTCTCTTTGTATTTTTATTTGTATGGTATAACCTCTTTCACAGGTCCATCTTAAACTTGAATATTTGAAAAAGATTATCAAATACCACTGAATTCCAATAATAACAAAGAGAACAGCTTTATCATGCTCTACTTGATGCCAGATCCGATTACAATTAGACTTACCCCACTAAGTCTAGCAACAACTTGATGTGTGCTCCAATTGAAGCACACACAATTAAGTTTTTGATCTTGATTGTTAAGCATGTGAACATGCAACAGACAAAGAAATTCACATGAATCATACATATGTGAATTTTCAATTGGAATAGTGGAAATAATAACTCCAAGCACCTATAACCATTAAGATAATGATTATAAGTTCCTCTTTTGTATATTCTGTCTCTCTTCTTTCATGGTACAAAGACCATTATTTGCTCCTTGTTTGCATCAGAGTTCTAAAATTCATGCAAAATATCAATTTAAAACCTTCTCTGACAATTAATCCATAGTACTATAAATAAGACTCATCTCTTCAAACTCTAGAAGTTTTGGGTTCAATTCTTGCTAATAGTAGGAAGGTTATACATGTATTTGTAACTGATTGTACATTGCAGGTAATTTCCATCGTAGTTGTTCATAATTATTCATTAATTGATTGACTGATTACTCACACTTCAACTTGATTCGCTGTGTGGTGATACTACTCCTACCCCCTCCCCTCCTCCCCCTGAAAGAAAGGAAAGAAACTTGGAGTCTTGGACGTACGAATTAAAATGCACAACAAAACTCTTTCCATATGTGTTGTTAATACACTTCATACAATTCAAAAGAGGGGTTGAATTATGGGTGTTTTAACTTTGTTATATGCGAACTATCTGAACTTGAAATATATTTCAAGAGCCAAGTAGCTCGTCTTTTGTGTCATCTAGTCTTAGATTTAGTCTAATGACACCTTAGTTAAAAAGAAGGATAGTTAAGGACAGTATGTCCTGTTTGACAGCATGGAGTACATTTTACCAGATAAACATACTAACCACTAAAAGATGTAAAAAAAAGCTATTATTCTTCTAAACTCTTGAGATAATACGATAGTAAAGAATTGAAATTTGACCAGAACTTTTCAAAGAAGTAGAAAAGAAAAAGGGAGAAGAGAAGATTCTCACCTCAAAGTCCTCTTGAGTTCAGTTTTGTATAATTGTACGGATATAAGAAGTAGATTCGAAAAATAAAAAGAGAAGATCGAGTTTACATCTTAGATATGGTGGAAGACAAGATTTTCTCCACATGTATCTTCCGATAAGGAACTTAATGGGTTATTACTGAAATCTTCTTCATTCTTGATCCCACTGTAAGGATACTGAAACAGAGAATCTATTTTGTTCTCAGAATCCCATGACAGGTCTTGAGGATTTCCCAACATGTCATTCATCTGAATTTCAGCAGCATTATGATTGTTATTCATAGTTGAACTATTGCTTGAGCTCTCTTTGGCTTCACTTGTATATAATAAACTCATTCTTGAACTTGAGCTGTCGGAAAATTCAGTTTCTGTCATGTGTCCATGTTCAAAATTTGTTAAACTTGGCATTGAGCAAAAGCCAAAATTTGGATTTCCCTCAATTTGGTTCTGATGATCATAAGGTCTCAGATTTTGCTGGGATTGACCTAACAGTTCTGAATTGTACTCACTTGGATCCACATTTGCTTGGAATTCAAACAGAAACAGAGGATCAAACACTTGTTTGCTCACAAGTTGGTTTCTTGAAGCTTCTGTTAATTGTCTATTTGCTTCACAGTCGACACTTGTTTCACTAAGGTGAAAAGGTTGCTCCATGTTAGCTGAAATTGACATACTCGGGAGCTGTGGTATCAGCAACATTGAGGCCTTATCTGTACAGTCTGTCTCATTTCTTACTTGATTTTCACTTAGTGGCTGGTGGGTGTTTGGATCAATCCCTTGCTTTATTAGCTTCTTCTTTAGATATGAATTCCAGAAATTCTTTATCTCATTATCTGTTCTCCCTGGTAATTGTGCTGCAATCTGTGCCCATCTGGAATTTACAAAGAAGACAAAAAAGAAATTTGAATACACAAAAGGGAGTACAAATATAAAAAAGAAACAGCAAAACACTCGAGCTCTAATTCTTTTTGAGTTTAAATAACATGAAAGACCTGTTTCCAAGAACTTCATGGAGATTAAGGATGATATCCTCTTCTTCCTGTGAGAACATTCCTCTTTTAAGATTAGGCCTCAAGTAGTTTATCCATCTCAACCTGCAACTCTTTCCACATCTTTGCAGACCTGCAAGAATTTCTCCACACAGAAAAGTTTCTTTTCACTTCCGTTCTATGCCAAGAAGAGGAAAAGGAAAATTCAACAGTTTAGAGGAATGAAATGGAAAATATAATACCAGCCAGCTTAGGGACTGAACTCCAGCAGCCAACGCCAAATTTGGTTATATAATTGTACAATTTTTCATCTTCTTCTGGTGACCACAATCCTTTCCTTAGCTTCTCCTTAACAAAAACAGAATGGCGTCCCATTGACTATGCAGCCTAAGGTTTTCCACAAGTTTTAACAGTAACCACTTGTTGTTGGGAATAAACCCCTTACCAAAATAATATTCACGGTAATAAAGCGGAATAATAATGTAGCACCGAGATACGGTAATTAACAAGAATAAAAGAGTAACAATGACACCAAGATTTTTACGTGGAAAACCCTTCTGAATAAGGGAAAAAAAACCACGACCCCGAGAGGAGCAACTGATATCACTATAGTAAGGAATTTTACACTTTGTAGGTCGGAGGTAAATACTCCAAAGACCACTACAACACTCAAAAGAAATAACCCTCTTTTGATATTCCCACCTCACTACAATATCGCTCACTCTCTATTTTCCTCACAGACTATTTTCTTATACCTTGTCTGTGAAACCTCACTCTTTCTTTCTCTCTTTGTTGGTGTGAAGAAATGAGAGTTGAAGCTCTCCTTTTATAGCCAAAGCTTCACCCTCTAAAGCCTACAATATTTGACAATTTACACACATTTTTCACAATTCAACAAAGTTGGCTACCAAACCAAAGAAATTCAACAAGGTTGGCTACCAACCAAACCAAGTCAACAAGGTTGGCTACCAAACCAAAGAAAACTCTTATTAGGCACATGCCTAATACTTCTTCAATGAGATGGACATCATCACTTGTCACCTTATAGCTGAGACTATGTTCAGAATGTATGGAGATGGGATTGGTAATCTTCATAACCAATGTTTGAGAACTAAATATCAAGGCTAATATATAATCTCAAGAAGTCTAGCTAGAGAGATGTCATACTTAGAATTCGAGGTCCAAGAGCTAGAGAGAAGGAAGAAGCTAGGTGAGGCAATTAAGTGGTTTTTACGCAAATTTAGGTGATGTTTTTGGATTGGATCTTAAGATATCTCTGGGCTCTATATAATTATTCTAACTTTCAAGGGAAAAGGAGGAAGAAGAATTGCTAAAGCATAAGATAAATAAGAATTACTCCTTAAACTTGTAGCTAAGAGTAGTAATTTGTCTTTATAATCACACTTTGGCTATTCTATCGGGTATATATATTAATACTCACCAGTCCTACAAGACTTAGGACAGTATTATATATTTATGATGAGTTTTGTGAGTCAGAGTCATTTAGGATGAGTTTCCTTCACAAACAGGAGTATTGGACAGGTTTCGCTATTTGATACGAGGATATATAGGGGAGCTTTCATCAACAGTTTATATTAATCGAACCTTTCTTGCAACCTCAAATTCAGCACTGTGGTCATGTGAGATTGGACCACTTCTTTTTATGTTTGACAGTCATTTTCTTCTAAAGAATCAGTTATTCTTTAATGTCAAAAGAATTTAAAAAGTTTGAATAAAAAGAAAGAGCTTTAACAATTTTCTGCATGAGGTTTCCACCTTCCACGACCTTTTCTTAGACAGTAAAAGAACAAATTTTTCAATCCTGAAAGAAGACGTAAGATGATAGAAGAGGAAATTTAGTGCATTTGGACGACTTGTCATTTATATTTGTACATATATTTATGGACGAGGTTAAAAAATAACAATTTGAAGATCGACCGACACAAGGATTTCAAAGAAGTCTTGGGTCCATGCACATAATTTTCTTTTTAATCATTAGGTACCGGGAATTCACTTGCCCCACTAATTCAGATTTATACCTCCATGTTAGGAAGGAGTAGTGTTTCAACCATAAATTTTTCCATTCCCAAGACTCAAATTCGAAACCTTTAATTATGGATGAGAGGATCGCATCCATAGCACGACACTCCTTGGAAGCACCGGAAAGGAATTGCTTTGGCTGATGTAATTTGGCTTTGTGAATAGTTCTATTTCTTATAAATGGACATTTTCTTGGTGGGGAAAGAAGGAACTGAAAAATACGTATATGAAATTTAGTTGGAAATATTCGAAGCGTTTTGCTTGCATGCAACTTCATTTTCATTTTTTTTTTTTTTTTTTTGAAGATTCATCATTAGAGCTTGGAAACAAACTCATATGTTGTATGGACAACTGATGTCATTTTCAATTGAAAAGTTTATCCAGTTTGTCACTAAGAGTTGAGACAATGTACAAGAGAGATATACATAGTTTAACTCGTTTGTCCAAAATCATTACTAACTTATTTTTCGTTTTTCCAGTAACTAAATTTAAAGAGATATTACGTCTGTCCACATATTTTTTATGGACCATTATTAAAATTAACCTTATCTGATGTAATAGTTGGGAGAAGTACACAAACAGTCAATTTTAGGGCTGCTATTTAGGGATTAACCAGTATTTGTTTCTGAAAATTTGAACTAAAAATTTTAAATTTCAGGACAATTCAAGATATTTGTGCCCCGAAAATTTGAATAGAAAAATTAAAATTCAAGAAACATTGATTAATTCCCAAATAGCAATCATTTAAGGTGGCTACCGGAGTAATTTCTACGTAATAGTTTTTATCATAAGGGCCCTACCTTTGAAACTTGAAAGATCTTAGGAATCATTGGTGTACTTTTTTCACCCAGAAAAAAAATCAGTATTCACTTTGCCATTTTTGTTAGGAAATTGATTATGTAGTTATATAAGATTACAAATACTAGTCGTTTAGAGTCCTTAGAATAAAAACTATAAGTATGAAATTCTTGCCACTGTATTGAAACAAAAAAGTACATCCAGTGCTATTGGGGCTACATTAGGATATGGTTTTAGAGACACCTTATACAGTAATTAGAATGCGTATATTACTTTATGTACCAAGCCATGTATTATTTTATACGGCCAAAATGTAAAATTATAATACGCGGATTAGTAATACTTAGATAAAAGTATCAAATTAGAAAAAAGTACCTTGCTTTAATGTAGGCAATCCATGCATGATGACCCATGTAATTATCATTTGTCGTATAACTTTAATCCTTATTCAGTGCTCAAGATTTCCTACCTAGCTATTCCATTTTATTTATTTATTTTGGGCTCAAAAAAAGAATTCAAGAGGTTCCAATTATATAGCTTGATACCATCCAACCTTGATTGAAAATAAGTAATTCTTCATATAATTGACTGTTTTCTTCCCCTCGATTGTATGGGTCAAAATCTGATCAAAAGAAGTCTACTTAAGGGAGAACGACCTGGGATCGGTCAAGCCGAAGTCACGTTTAGGAAGCAACACACCGACAAGCAGTCCGGCTATGGCTGTAGTCGAGCACTCATGAGGCTCGTACGGCTAGTTCGACACTTAGCCATTTTAAAGGATTATTCCACAGGATATTCAAAAGATGTGGGTACACTGGTTAAGGACCGATGGGTAATAAAAGTGTTTTATATAAATACTAGGAGAGAGAGTAACAGGGGGGAGGGCGGCAGTCCAAAGATCCAAGAACACACCTTTCGGAGAGGAAAGATGGTCCATGACCTCAGACCCATCGCCAAAAGGAGAAAAGAGCTTAGAATCTTGGTATTCATTTGTAATTCAACATTCTCAAGAAAATACATATCTGTCTAGCCCACAGTCGGGTGAATCGTTTCTGTTGCTATTTCTCTTTTCCATTTGATATTACGTAAATTGTCATCTTTCATTATATTGTGGAGTACAAGCGGGACTATATTGGCCTTTCACGTTCAACTATAATGGTTTATACCTGTTTGTGATTCCTGATCTAGAAGTGTTTGTCTTTGGCTAAGATTTACCCTCTATCTTCTTCTTAAATTCGTTTAACAAAAAAGGCCTAAAATTTTTTAGTCAAACAATTTGGCGCCATCTGTGGGGATTTTCCAGCCAAAGTTTTAGTTTTCTCTAGATCTAAACTCGGTTCTAGTTCTACTTCCCGCTCATTGTAACTTCATCCTTTCGCTAGGAACATAAATTTGAGGAATTCGTAGGCAAAATCTTGAAATAGCCAAACCAATTTTTAATCTAGACCCTTGCATGAAATCAAAATTATGTTTGATATCCATATGAAAACTACGCTTCGACGTAGTTATAGTTTCAGCACATTGCAATTGCAAGCTGTTGGACTAGGACTGTGGCCTTCACGTATTTAGCACGTCTACAATCCTGTCACAATGTTAGTGCTAGATACCAATCTATACATTGTACATACAGCTCTCTCCCTCTCAGAAAGGAATAATAACCCGTTGTGTAATTCCTTAAAATGACAAAACTCGTTCCCGCCTGTGTGTTTGTAGTGTGGCTTATGCTTCCATATCTTCACGCACTCGGGACTGGATCGGATTGGGACTTGAACTCAAAGATCCAAATGGGCGAAGTGAGTCATCAACCCACAAGGTGCCCAGATTCGACTAACGCCGAAGCTAAGTACGAGGCTGAGATCGGATCTGAAGCTAGCACTCTCAGTTCATTGCCAATCAGATCGAAGGGACTTTCTAAACCCAAGTAGCGGAGACGGCAAAAACACCAAGCCAAAGACCCACAAGATGTCATCCGAGTTCGATGGATATCAGCCCAACCAATGATATCAACTACTAAGCATAGCCAAAGAAGGGAACATGGTCGCCCCCTTCCACTTGTCAATCAATCAGTCGAGGTAACAAACGATTTCGTTTGGCTTTAACTTGCTATTTCTTTTTAGAGTGGGACACGAACATGGGCAAACTCACCCACGCGCTCGTCAAAGCCACTATGCGATGGCACAACTAGCTAAAATTTGATCTCATACATACATTAAGATGTCCCGAAGCTTGAGCTAGACATTCATCGCCCGACCTATCAACTACCTCTCCAGGCCGAGCGATAAAGGGACTAGATAGACTGGGACTCCTCGAATGTATGTACGGACCGTACAACAACATGTAGTATTCTGCAATAAATGAGTAAGCGAAGCAACATATAGAATTCTTACGTAACTTCACCAAGTTTACACATCATGCCAACATAGGAAATGTACATTCGTCCTCGTTCGAATTTACAACAAGACAAATTTGACCTCGCTCGAATTAACAAGTCTAAATTCGACCTCGCTCGAATTGGCAAGTCAAAATTCGACCTTTCTCGAATTAGCAAGACAAATTCGACCTCGCTCGAATTGGCAAGTCAAAATTCGACCTTT